AGAAAAGGAAGCAGATTCTGTACTTTACTCTATACTACTTCTCACCACAAATATGGAAAATAAATAAAAAAAAATCCAAAATCTGAGAAAGGGGCTTTATTCAGTCCAGGTTAAAAAAAAAATTAATCTGATGAAAAGGTAACACTGGATGATGTTCAAAAATGAAAACCCTCTTGATGAATTTATTCCCTAATCAGTACATTGCACAAGAAGGAGCTCAATGTTTGTGGAATAGCTTACATTTTAAAACAAAAACAGAATTTGGCAGTTTTATACAAATATAAATAGCTTTGTATACAGTTCCTCAGACCTCAAAAAAAAAAAAAAAAAAAAAAAGACTCTAGAGCCAGAGAATTAGAATTCTGTGAAACGCTCACACAGCCTACACAGATTTAAAATTTCCTATCAAGTTTGATCTGGTAAAGACATTAGGAACAGGATGTACAGTACTGGATGTGAACTGCTCAAGATTCTGTCTTCTGATAGTCTTCTGATTCATCATCCCCAATTCCATGAAATTCTCTTTGAAATATGCAGCATGGATAATAACTCTTCCCAATTAAAAACATATTCCAAAGGTACATACAATATTGTGGTGGTATTTGCCTAGAGGCAGTTAGGCAGCACAGTGGCTGTATCTGAACTCAGGAAGACCTCAGACTATGTGACCCTGGGCAAGTCAAGTAACTTTAACTGTAAAATGGGGATAGTAAAAACATCTACCTCCCAGCTCCTGTGAGGAACAAATGGGATATTTGTAAAGCACTTATTACAGGACCAGCCACATAGTTGATCCTTAATAAATGCTTATTTCCTTCCTTACTTTATTTCCAACATATTTACATTTTTATGACTCAACTAGGTATAATATTCACAGTCTATGAACATAAGTATATGAAATCAATCTCATCAATAAAATTAGAAAGGGGCACCAGATGCTCTACGCTTATGATACTATAAAACTTTTCAACAACCAAAAGGCTCCTGAAATCTTTGGGGTAACCTAGAAAAAAAAGTAGTTGATAAACCAAACACTGAATAATTCATTAGGCCATGAATCACTTAAGGCAATCACGCAACAAGAAATTATTAACTTTCTCTTCTCTCTTTTTAACCCCTTACAATCTTCCAACCTTATCAATTCCACTTGAAAACGTTCTCTTCAAAGTTACCAATGATCTCTTAGTTGCCAAATCCAATGGCCTTTTCTCAATACTCTCCACAGCCTCTGTCATTGTTGATCACCCTCTCCTCTTCTCTAGGTTTGTGGAGCACCACTCTCTCCTGATTTTCCTCCTTTCTGATCCCTCCTCACTCTTCTTTCCTCAATCCTCATCCAGATAACTTGCTCTAATTATAGGTGTCCCACAGGGTTCTGTCTAGCATCTTCTTCTCTACTACTGATGATGTAGAAAGGAATGCTCAAGGAAGATGGAGCAAGCAGGATGCAGGACATGAGATAGGAGATAAGATGCAGGATGTGACCAGCCAGAAAAGTGATCAAAGAAGACTATGCATTGAAGCCCCCCAAGGACTTACTTGTGTGCTTTCACAAAGCACCCCAGATTTCAGAACAATTCTTCTCCTCCCCTTTCCTATACTCTTTGCTCATCTGTATGATAAAGGCACCTTGGGACTACCTGATATACCAGGCATTTTGGAGCCATGCTTGCTCCTCCCATTCTCTAGTCCCCTTTCCCCCTATTCCATAAAATTGTAAACCAGGCACCTAACCCCAATAACCACCTTTGCCTCCTAGGGAAAGCAGGGGCTACTCTGTGTCCTTTAGGAGAGCAGGACCTGCTGCCTATGCTCTGCCTCCCCCCACAAGGAGAGAAGCTGGTTGGCGTACATCACCCCAATCAATGCCTTTCTTTAACTTGGAGACTGTCGAGTGAATTCTTTCAGGACAACAGGACCTACATGTCTATTCCTCATCATTTCAGGTGGCATCCCAACATTCTTGGGGTAAACCCTGAACTCATCACTAACTCTACAGTACTTCATTTGGCGATGTCATCAGTTCCCATGGATTTAATTACCATCTTTATACAGATGATTATCAAATCTACCTATCCTGTCCCAAACCCTCTGCTGACCTCTAATCTTGCATCTCCAAATGCCTTTCAGACATCTTGAAATGAACATCCAGTAGACATTTTAAACTCAACATGTTCAAAAATGAACTCATTCGCTTTCCCCAAGCCTTCCCCTTCCCCCCCAACTTTGCTATTTCTGTCAAGGACAATACCATCCTCCCAGTCCTTCAGGCTTGCAATCTAGGAATTATCCTCAATTCCTTACTACGTCTCAACTCCACCCCTACCCCTCCACCATATCCAAGGTGTTGCCAATGACTGCTGATTTCACCTTTGTAACACATCTCTCAAATGCCGGTAGCCCCTTTCTCTCCTGACGCTGCCACCACTCTGGTGCAGGCCCTCATCACCTCATATCTGAACTACTGTAATAGCCTACTGATGAATCTGTCTGCCTGAAGTCTCACCCCACTCCAATTCATTCTTCATTCAGCTACCAAAGTGATTTTCCTAAATCGAAGGTCCAATCATGTCACCCCTTACTCAGTAAATTCCAGTAGCTCCCAATTACCTCCAGGATCAAATACAAAATGCTCTTGGCCTTCAAAGCCCTTCATAACCTAGCCTCCTCCTCCCTTTCCAGTACTCTTACACACAGCTCTCCAACATAAACTCTTCGATCCAGTGACACCAGCCTCCTTGCTGTGCACAAACAAGGCACTTCATCTCTCTATTCTGGGCATTTTCTCTAGCTGTCCTCCATGACTGGAATGCTCTTCCTCTTCACTTCCACCCACTGTCTTTCCTGGCTTCAAGTCCCAATTAAAATCTCATTTTCTATTTAATGCTAGCACCTTACCTCTCTTATTTCCCATATATAGCTTAATTTGTATATATATGTTTGCTTGTTCTCTCCCCTGTTGGATTGTGAGTTCCTTGAGGGGAGGGGCTGTCTTTTGCCTCTTTTTGTAACCCCAACACTTAGCACAGTGCCTAGAACAGGAGTGGGGAAATACTTCACAAAAGTATTTGTTCTATAAAATTTGGACTCAGTCAAAAGGCCCAAGGATCCAGAAGGCCACATGTGGCCTCGAGGCCGAAGGTTCCCCACCCCTGGCCTAGAACACAGCAGACTCTTAATGTTTACAGACTAGGTTCTATATGTCTCCTACTCTAAGTAAGGGAGATACAAAAGAGGACAAAAGTACAAAAACAGCTCCTGCCCTCAAGGAACATATATGCTAATAGGAGAGATAACAGGTAAACAGATACATTCCTAGAGAGGAAGGTTCAAGGAGGAAACCATGTATGTAGGCAATTTTCCTGAGTTTTCGAAGGGGTGAGGAAGTTAAATCAGTGACTTCAAAATACATCTTTAGTCCAAGTGGGCATTCAGGAAAATACCAACTTGTCCAATTCCTCAGTGTAGTGCAGTAGAGATATTCAGCAGATATAAGTTCTAGTTCTGATATAACTAGCCATGGGACCTTGGAGAGGAACTGAGTTCAAAAGCCTACCCCAGGCACTTACTACCTTTGTGATCTCGAGCAAATCATTTAATCTATAGGTGCCACTAAGCATCAATTAGACTAGATGACTTCTAAGTTTCCAGAAGGAGTCATTTTCCACATTTAAAATGAGAACTGAAGGAAGTGATCTCTAAGCTCTTCCTAGAAAATCTACAATCCTATCATTTTCTTATGCATTTTGGTCAGCTCCCAACAAATATGTTAACTAGAGTAAGGTTTAGAGGATGGTTAAGGAGAGAGCTACAATATGAGGGAAAACTAATTCACAAGGACACCACAAAATCCGTTTTTGGATACCACAAAAATTTGCTAAAAACTAATCACTGGAATCTTTCTGGGAATCTACTGGTTTTTTTTAGTTAAGGCACTGGGACTAGACCCCTTATTTCACTGGTATAGGAGAACTCCAACGATGAACTTTACCAATGCTGGACGACGCCTTCTCAGAAATTTACAGCTTGAGATTCTCGGGGCTTGGAGAGTTGCCTGGGGCACTCAGGCATTAAGGGACTTGTCCCGAGTGACACACCAGGACAGAGAAGATCTCACACATAATTTTTCTAGGATTCCTGCAGGGGAGAGAGATGTCCCACCAAATGGGGACAATCGAAATTCTTCTCAATAAGGATTACATCCACCACCGCCCCATTTTCAAAACACACACACACACACACACACACACACACACACACACACACACACACACACACACGTGTGTCAAGAGACAGCTGGTCGCCCTAAGGAAGAAAGGGGACTCAGTTACTGCGAGCCTGCGCCAGGCACTTGCCTTCGGCGGCGATGCTCGGCTCCTGGCCCGCAGCGTGAGGAGCCCGGGCACTGGCCGGAACCATGATGGTGCTGCTAACGGTGAGGGCAGCAGGAGACGGGGCGACGCCGGCGCTCAGAGCGCCCCGCACTCGCACAAGGCCGGCTTGCAGCGCCCCACGGTCCCCGCGGCCCCGTCCGGCATCTCTGCTCCGAGGAGCCGCCGCCCACGGCTGCCTGCCGGGCGCCGGCCTCCAGCCTCCAGGAAAGAAAACAGATGCGCACACGCCCCCACTCCCACTCGGGGCGGCCCCCCGGCCTTCCCGCCACTACCCAGCCGCGCCGCGGGGGACGCGTCACCGGGGCGGGGCGGGGCTGGGGCCTCGGGCCCGCGACCCCAGCCCCAGCGCAGCGGTTCGCCGGGGATGTCCCGCTGCCCTCGGCCCCGCCCTCCGAGCCCCGCCCGGCCGGCTCTCCAAAGGGGTAGAAAGAGGGGCGGGGGGCAGAGGTCCTTCCCCCTCCCCCACCCCCCCCCCCCCCCGTTCGCTACGCGGCGGGCGGGGCATCCGGAAGGGTCGGTGGCCCGCACTCCCCAGCCTTCCACCCACCCCCCGGCTGTGACAGACCATCTCCTCCAGCAGTCACCTAGCCAGGTCCTGGGACTCACCGGGTGACTGACCCCCATCGCAGAGGACTTCGGGGTCCAGGCTCCCCCCGCAGGAGGGCTATCAGGCCAGCCGCCACCGAGGTGAGGGAGCGGCAGGCGAGGCGGCGCGCAGGCGCAGAGCCCAGAAACCGAGCCACCCGGACCGCCTGCCTCACCCTGCCCCCAACCAGGAGGGCCACGTGACGCCGGGAGGGCAGGCCCAGCTTCCTGACCGGTCTCGGAGGAAGTCACGTGACACCGCGATGTCGCCTCTCCTCTCCCCCCCTCACCTCAGCGCTGGAGTGTAGAACCACCTGCCATTCTGGGGGTCCCTCCATTTTCTCTCCCCGTCACTCCCTGTGCCTCTCCCTTCCCTCCCACAGGCCTCTCAGGGGCAGATGGAAGGCTTTGTCAGGGCCCTTTCTTGGGGTTGAAAATTAAATTAGCACATGTGCTTTCAGCCTTCCAAGAATTCCTATATAAACCTGGTGTGTGTGCACAAGGGGATTTCAATGCCAGTTAAAGCCAGTGGCAGCCATGGTGCCTCCCCACAAAAACTACCAACACCCCACACCCCTCTCCTGGTTCAGAAGGAAAAGGTCTAGGCCAGGGCTGGGGAACCTTCGGCCTCGAGGCCACCTGTGGCCTTCTAGGTCCTCGGGTGCAGCCTTTTGACTGAGTCCATGTTTTACCCAATAATTAAGGGGATTTGTTCTGTGAAGTTTGGATGCGGTCAAAGGGCCGCACTTGAGGACCTAGAGGGCCACCGGTGGCCTCGAGGTTTCCCATCCCTTCTCTAGGCTATGGTGTGAATATATTTGCTGTTGGGGAAATTCTTCAACCCCGAGGTCTTAAGATGCTAAGTGAGAGGAATTCTTGTCACCTCGGTTCTTTGGGCAGGAGGTCAATGAGTCAGTTAGCTGGCTACAAGATAAAGAGTTAAATTAGCATCACCTAATGAGCAGTTGCCAAGAACAAAGGTGTATATGGTTTTACCCAGCCTTAGGGCAGACCTTCTGGAGGGCTGAAGGGAGCTAAGAAGTGAGGTTACTCAGTCACTTTTCTTATTTGGGAGGTTAAGTATTAAGGACAAGATGTCAAATGATGGGGGGAAGACGTTGTTAACACTGAGCTTAGAATATATTAATCTCCTTAATGTGTCACTAGATGCTCAGGGGTATTTCAATTCCACTGTCATCTTTATCGCGTCACTCCCCCTCCCCTAGGATAAAGTCACCAGGAAACATCCACATGGAGATTGCTCTAGCTTTGCTATTCACATCTCACCAGCAATACCTCAACTGCCTCTACTTCTCTGGAGGATTGGAGGGGGAACCAAAAAAAAAAAATTCCTCTCACAGCCTGGGGAGGGTCCCTCAAAATTCCAGCCATCTCTCCATTTGCCACCAGGTGCTCTGGTTTTTACTCCATCATCATCTTCATAACGCACCTGTCACTCCTTCATCCCACCACACACTTCTCAGTTTCCTTTTGTGTGTTGTCTTACTCCATTAAATTGACTGCATGAGAGCAAGGACTTTCTTTCATTTATATCCCTGGCATTTAGCACAGTTCTCAGCACATAGTAGGTGCTTAATAAATGTTTATCATATTTTATCATAACCTAGAGGTCTCAAGAGTTGCTAAAGATCAGGTTTGTTCCAGTAGGATAATGCATTTCTAAGAGGTTAGTCTTTTCATAATATCCTGGTGGGGTAGGGACATATCTAACTATTATAGTGGAGGCTTTCAAGATAGAAATCAGTAATGCTCATCTAATTGGTGCCTGCCTGAGGGTCTGTTTCTATTTATACAATCTGATAGTTCTATTTCTTTGACCTCTCAGGTTATTTCTTTCCTAGCGAGATTTCCCTAAAACGCATAGCCTACAGGTTTTATTCCTTTCCTCCGAATGCATTCTGAAAAATACTAAAGGTTGTTGTTCGGTCATATCTGACTCTTCATGACCCTGTGGACCACACTGGCCATGGGGTTTTCTTGTCAAAGATACTACAGTGGTTTGCTGTTTCCTTGTCCAAAAGTATATAAAGGGAGATCATGTAAAAGGGAGCCTAGTAGTACCAGATCTCCTATTTTACTACCCAGCAGTAATTATCAAAACTATTTGGTAGTGGTTAAAAAAATAAAAAAGTTATTAGAACAGATTAGGCACATAAGATCCAGAGGTAATCCAGATAAATGCAAGAACCCTAACTGCTGGGATAAAGACTTACTATTTGACAAAAACACCTGGAAAAATTGGAAAACAATGGCAGAAATTAGGTTTAGACCAACAGCTTACACAGTACAACACAATAAGCTCCAAATGGATATTGTTGTTGTTTGTCCTTCCTTCTTGAAGAGGATCATGACATCAGGAAGATGATGCCATGACTTGCAAGTGAATTGGATTTAAGTGAGAGAGGGCTGTGCAAGGTCACCAGCCTCACTTTCTCCTCCAGAGCCATCTGGGTCCTGTTGCAAGACATAGATCAGGATAACTAGAGATGGCCAAATGGATATATAACAGTTTAAGGTAAACTGAGGCACAAATTTCTGAGCATGATCAATTTATTAGTAAAGCACGAATTTAACAACAGATAGGATCTCAGCTTCCTCAGCAAAGATAAGACCCCCAAATGAAGGGGACAGTTTTCTTTTATAGGTTTTGAGGAGTAAAGAACAGAACAGGGTAGGTGACATGGGATTGAGGATAACATGATTGATTATATAACTGAGGTGTAGGGAACAGTATGATTGGTTAGAAATTTGGTAAGGAAGAACTAGCAATGACCCACTCCTCCTTGCCTCCTGTGACGAAGAAGTTTTCATTGTTTTAGTCTACCTGCAAGATAGTAGCCCAGACTTCTTTGGAGAGCAAATCAGACATCCTTGAAGTTAAGATAACTTAGTGGTGTGTATATATTGGATCAGATTCCCTAATCCCTCATATCCCCCAGATTAGTAGAATTCCTTGTGGCAAGAATAAAACAGTGATTAGCAAGAGAACTGGGTTTCTAAACTTAACCTATTACAGGCCAGCTGGAATTCTGAACTAAATTCAAAGACAAAGCACCATGACTTAGGCAGTTATAGGACAAAATCAATTAACCATAAATAGGATCAATAAAAAAATGATACAGGTCAATCATTTCAGATACATGACCTAAATGTAACAGTTCATGTTGGAGGAGTAGAAATAGATACCTATTCACAACTATGAACAGAGGAAGAGTTCTTCACTAAACAATGGAAAATTGTGATTACATGAAATTGAAAAGCTTTTGCACAAACAAAAACCAATGAATTTAGAATTAAAAGGGAAATAGTTAATTGAGAAAACTCTGCAGCAAAGTTCTTTGATAAAGGTCTCATGTCCAAGATGTTTAGGAACTTGTTACCAGTATATAAGGAGCCATTTCCCCCAAATAAATGCTGAAAGGGTACAAAGAGGCAATTCTCAAAAGAAGAAAGGAAGCCATCAACAGCCATATAAAAAATGTTCCACATGACTAGTAATAAGAAATGCAAATTAAAACAGCTCTGAGGTTCTATCTCCAGATAAGCAAAGATGTCAAAAATGGAAATTGCCAATTATTGGAGGGGCTATGGGAAAACAAGCACACTAATGCACTGTTGTTACTTGTTTTGGAAAGCAACTTGGAACCATACCCCAAAACTCTCTAAACTGTGCATACTTTTTGACCCAGTGACTCCATTAATAGTATTCCAACTCAAAAAGATTAATACATTTTAAAAAGGAGGGAAAAGACTCATATGCGCAAAAAATATTTTAGCAGCACTTTGTTGTATCAAAGAACTGGAAACAAAGTGGGTGCTCGACAATTATGGAATGACTGAACAAATTATTACATGTTCATTTAATGAAATTTTATTGCACTCTAAGAAATGAGAAATCTAGGAACATGTATGAACCAATGCAGAATGAAATGATTGGGAATGCAAATTCCCCGAAGTGGACAATCTAGAATTTGTTCTATGAAGTTTGGATTCAGTCAAAGGGCCACACTTGACAACCTAGAGGGCCACATGTAGTCTCGAGGCCACAGGTTCCCCACCCTTGGTCTAGAAGAAGGGAAACAAAAAGCAAAAATTTTTCTAAGCTTGGGTTATAGCTAAATGATGAGCTTTCTTCAGCCTCACTCTCAGCTGTAAAATGTATTGATTGTGAGTAATTGCAATCTTTTTATCCTTTAAGTCAAATTATGTAAGTGGATTATTGTCAGTCTATGCATTTGAATGTATATAGTGTAAATGCACGTGAATATAGTGTAAATTTTTCAGTGATGGCTCACATGAAAGCCATAAACTCCAGTTGATGTGTACAACATAGTAAGTCTCACTGTTACTAAATGTTCTATTTGAAAAGGCATTTGGTTTCTGATTAGCGTTACTCTGTGGGAATAATAATGATTCTAAACCTTCTAAGTTAGCATCTGTACTAGAACGGAAGCCTTGTTTGGATTCTGCAAAGGTCATAACTGGTAGGCATGTGATGCAACTGATCAAATCTTTAAAAGATTATTCACGTTTGTATGTTCAGTGATCTCCAACTGACTTCAAAGGGTTTAGAGAATATTGTCCTTTCCTGAACTTATGTTTCTGTTCTCTTCAATCATATATTTATCAGTAAGATCATCAGTGGTTCAGAAATAAAAAGATAATGCTCTATGAATTTAAGAGTATAATTTCCAACTCCTAGAAAAGTTTTTAAATCTCAAAGGTGGCCATTTAAGTAGTGCTTTCTTCCCCCACCTTGAGGTCAGTGTTCACTCCTTGCTGAGATGATAAACCCTCATACTAAATAGAAGTTCTATAGAATGAGCATTATCAGTTGACGATTTCAGATCAGCCTTCTCCAGTCTGTATAATACTTTTATCACTCGCTCTTCATGTTCTTCTAGGGCTTCTTAAAAACAGCAACAATGCTGAAGTCACTAAGGTATACCAACACTTCTAAATAATTCATATCTCCAACTGCTTTATCCATCAACCATTGGAAAGTAGCAGGTATCCTCGAGATACCCTGAGGCTTATGTTTACATTGGTAAAAATCCAGCTGGGCAGATGAAAGCTACCTTCTCCTTATCATTTT